GGTGGGGATGGCGATGGGCAGCGGGGACCTGCTGGGGATGGGGTGGGCGCGGGAGGCCACAGGGTCGCTCACAGATCTTTCCCGCAACCGGGAGTGGGTGGGACAAGGAGCAGAGAAAGGGTTGCATCCCCTCGAGCTGCGCACCCGGTGCTGGCTGGCTTTCCACCTCCCAAGGGCTCTCGCGCATCTTGCGCTCCTGTCAGGTGTGGCATCGGGCCCCAGGCGTGTCTAGCAGAAGCTCTGAGCTAGGATCCTCCCCCCGCGCCCCGCTATTTTTTCTCACTGCCTCTTGAGAACTTGGGGCAACTTGGAGCCACATCCCAGCACAGCCTTCAAAGAGCGCTCCCAGGCCGGGCACAGGATAGGATGGAAACTTGAAGCTCAAGTTTCTTGCAGCTTAAAAAGCGCCATGGCATTGTCATTTTACTGTGTCAGTTAAAACCAAAACAAAAACACGTGCTGAGCTAATATTCCCCCTCATTCTCTCAAGCTGGTTTTTATGGGTTCAGCACACGGTTCAGAGCCACGTGCGTGTAGAATAGTGGCTCTATTCATGCCCTATTGGGTAGACACAGTCCCTGTGAATTCCTGGGGTTCAGTGATGCGAACTCCTGGGGTTCAGCGAAGGCTGCAAAGACCCCCGAGCAGGTGGCTTTGTCCTCCTCGGGGTCTGGCTTCAGGCCATCGCTGGCCTCATTGTAAGTCTGCACTCACACTCCTTCCTCCCCGGGCAGCCCTCACAGCTTCTGTGGGTGACACAGGGCTGAGGGCCTGTCACTTTCTTCCTGCTCCCCCGGCAGAGGGCATGGTGACACCTTGGAAAGGTGAGCGATGCATCTTGGCTTCAGGGAGGAAGCCAACAGTCCCAGGCATCCCCCGGGTTGCACGGAGGACTCCGGAGGATGGTAGCATCGATTCTGTAGGCCCAGAGGCCAAGGGCATTCATTGCCATTTCCCTGAGTCAGTTGAACATAGATGGACTGAGCTCATAGTACAGTGGGCAGTGATAAGAGCTGGCATTTGTGCCAGACACTGGGGTACATTCTTCATTGCCCTGCCGCCAAGAAATGTGACCCAGAGATGCAGTCCTGAGTGCCAGCTGACTCAGTGTGACAAGTGCCAGGACGCACGGGAGGGAACGGCATCATCGCTTGAGCTGAAAATGTAAAAATGATGATGAATTTTCCCAGCAAGCCCGTTGGGAGACGAACATTCTAGAAAGAGGGGATACACTGGGGAAAGACCCTGGGCTTGAGGGGACAGGTATGGGGGTGGGACGGGAAGGCTGGCATCCTCTTAGGTATTTACCAAAGCGATTGGGAACGGGGGCTTGGATAAACACTGTACACCAGGGTCATTGCAGCGTTATTCACAGCGGCCGAAAGGTGGAACCAACCCAGTTGTCCATCATCAGGTGAGTGGGTCAGCACCTTGTGGTGTGTACACACAAGGGAATATTATTTGGCCAAAGAAGGACTGGAGTTCTGATACGTGCTATAGCATAGATACATCCTGAGAACATTATATTAAGTGAAGTAAGCCAGACGCAAGGAAAAATACTACGTGAATCCACTTCCATGAAGTATGGAGAATAGGCAAATTCATAGAGATGGGCGAGAGGTTACCAGGGATTGTGGGGAGAGGGTAATGGGGAGCTGTTGCTTAATGGGTACAGAGTGTCTGTTTGAGATGATCAAAGGTATTGGAAATCGATAGTTGTGGAGAGCGGCTACAGTGTTTGGACAGGTGCAAGCCTCGGACTGATGAGAGGGCACAGTCCACTCACGGCCACGTGCAAGTCCAGCTTGGAGGGCAGAGCCCTCCCAGCACAGTGATAGCCAAAAGTTACAGTTGTGAGCTTGAACCTATGGTCCGAACACGTGGCCCCACGTGCCTGAGTGATGTGGGCTTGATAGAGTTCAGGTGCATGTAATTGAGTAGCTTCAAAACCCACGAGAATGTTGTAAGCACACCCTTACGTTGAACTCCCGGTCAAACTCCTGTGGGGACAATTTGCTTATTAGGCTTTTATATATATAGTTTGATTTTACAGAGAGGAAGGCATGTAATTGAGTAGCTTCAAAACCCACGAGAACGTTGTAAGCAGGCCCTTACGTTGCCTCGTGGAATCCGGCTACAAAAATAAAGAGATGGCTACAGGCACAGATAGTGGTGGTGGTTGCTTACCACTGTAAATGTACTTAATGCCACTGAGTTGTGCACTCAAAAATGCTTAAAATCACATTTTAAAAAAACCATTCAGCCCTGGCCGGCTTGGA